GCCGGGCCGCCTACCCGGCGCGGCCCAGGCTACGCGCCGTGAGCAGAGCGAACTGGACACCCGGGGCCACACTTACCTTTACTGAGGGGTGAAGACCGTGTAGCGACAGAGACCACAACGACAAGCGAGCGCGACCCTTGGGGACAGACGCCCAGCCAGCCCGACGGGAGGACGGGTCTCCGAAAACGCAGAGAAATGGCGGCGCGAGAAGCGAGCCCACCCTGCGCTAATCCCCGGAGGACCCCGGCCGCCCGCGGGCACGCCCCTTAAAGCCCTACCCAAGCCCCGCCCCGAAGGACAGGGTGCTTGGCTCTTAAAGGAGCGATGGCACCGCCCCGGAAATCAGCCTCCTGAGAAGGAATTAAAGCTGGCGACGCCAGGTGGAGCCAAGAGGAATAGGAAAACTACAGTTTAGGAGTCACCTGTTGCACTTGCACACAAAACTTAGTCTTATTCAGAGGGCACTATTAGGTGTTTGGAAACCTGACTGCTACACTGGTTCATTAATTAAAAAAATAAACAAAACAACAAAGAGGGGGTAATACCTGGCATGCTGATGCACACCTTTAATCCCATAATTTGGGAGGCAGAGGCAGGAGGATCTCTGGTGAGGTCAAGGGCTGCCTGGTGAGTTCTGAGACAGTACTACATAATAAAACCCTGTCTTAAATTACATTGTCTATGTATGTATACGTGTGCGGTAAGGAAGGGCGCACGTATGCCACAATTCATGTGTGGGGAGGTCTGAAGACAACTTGCAAAAGTTCTCTCCTATCACTTGAGTGCTGGGAATGAACTCAAGCTGACCCATTTGGGTGCAAGCACTTTTACCCACTGAGCTTCTTGATAGCCCCTGGTTTTATGTTTCGAATTTCCATATTCTCTCTCTCTCTCTCCTCCCCCACTCGTATTGTTTTTGTTTTTTGTCCTTTCCCCGTGCCCCCAGAGGGTTTCTGGGTAGCCCTGGCCATCCTGGAAGTCGCTCTGTAGACCAGGCTGACCTCAAACTCAGATCCGATTGCCCCTCCCTCCTGAATGTTGGGATTAAAGGTGGGTGTCACCACCACTCAGCAAATTTTCACTTCTTTGATTATGTAATTTAAAATCAAATGTTGAGTTTGGGATACAGTTCCGTGGTAGGATGTTAGACTAGTACAAGATCCTGGATCCAATCCCTAGCACAGCAAAAATAAATACTAAGATGTTTCTATTTTTAATGTAACCTGGTATATATTTTTCTCTCTTAACCAGTTCATCGGTTTGTAAATACTTATTTAAATGTTTTCATGCTTCCCTACCCCCAATTCCTAGGGATTAAAGTGGATTTAAGCCTCTACAGTTAAAGCAACTTTCAGTCTATAATGGAAAAAGAGAGCAAATAAATGTGTCAAGTGGTGATAAGTGTCCTGGAGAAAAACAAAACTAGGAAAGAGAAATAACAGACTGAAGTTTAAGGTGCCTTGGTCCGGGAGGTCCTGAGTGGCAAGGCAACATTCCATTCCTTCATTCTTCAGATAATCAAAAGGCCTGCTGTGCTGTAGGCCCTGGAGATAGGACAGATAAAGAAGAAAGACAAAAGTCCCTGAAGGCAACCAAAGGTGACAAAACCCTCTTGTCCCTTGGGAGGCTCAGTAGTGAGATCAAGGGCAGTTTAAGTTACATTTTGAGGTTCTGTCATAATTAAACAAGTTTATTTTATGGTCAAGCCTGTGTGGTAGCACAGTGTACATACCGAGGTAGGAGGATGACTTGAGCCCAAAAATTTGAGGCCAATGTACCTAACACCATCTGAAGAAGGAGAAGAAGGAAGGAGGAGGAGGAGGAGAAAGAGGAGAAAGAAGAGGAGGAGAAGAAAGAAGAAGAGGAGGAGGAAGAAGAGGAAGAGGAAGAGGAAGGAAGGAAGGAAGGAAGGAAGGAAGGAAGAAGAAGAAGAAGAAGAAGAAGAAGAAGAAGAAGAAGAAGAAGA